CATCAGAGAGCTGCCAGAAATAGGGGATCCCCCTCATTACATAAAGCAATAGATCTTTGCCCCCATGTAACCTGCAGCCAGGTGGGCAAAGGCCCTCCTGGCCTGGACCCTACTTAGCCTGTTCACACACAAGGATATGGCTATAATAGCAATGGGGAAAAGAGAGGGAAGCTGGTAGCGTGACACTTCTGGTAGGCCTTGGGCTGAAATACTCATCATTAACCATTCCCTCACTATAAGTAAGGCTCTCTGAGAATCTGACTGAACTAGGCTGGTTCTGGACACACTATGAACAAAGCCAAGCCCAAAAGTGGCCTCCCCACCCAACAAAAGCCCCTCTCAGGTTCTGTCCATGCAGATTCACTGACCACACACCTCAAGGTTGTTACAGCGGTGGGTCATCACTGCCCTCTGCTGGCCACTTAGGCACTAGCATCCGTTCGGACACCAAGGCCATCATCATCTCACTCCCCACGCAGGCATGTACTTCAGTCACTCCTCCATCTGTGGGCACTGAAACATAACCCTATCCAGCTGCCACTTGAGTCAAAGGGCTGATGGGGGGCAGGATGAGCAAGGTCCAACCCAGGAACACAAAGTGTCAGTGAAAAAATCACAAATTCTGCCGAAAATATAAACTTAAACTTCAAAAGGAAGTGCCCTTTCTATGCAGTTTAGAGGTTAAACTCACTCTCATGGAAACAGTACCTGCCCTATAACTTGTTACAATGTACCAAAACCTCTCCTCCCACCTTTTCTCTTATGCCCTGGCCTTGTTTCCTCCAAAGGAGGGCTGAGCTATCCTTCCAAAAAGCTTAACTTCTCTGACAGGTCTGGGAAAGCCTTGGTTCCTTTTGTTCCTTCTATCACTCTGCAGCCGATGATTGGAAGCCCTGGCCCTGAAACAAGGCCAACTCTCCTCAACTTTTGTGCAACATCCTAGAGGAAACCACATCTTCAGAGGTGGGAATGATACTGGCTGAAGGGGAGGGGAAACTGCCAAGAAGCACCAAACCGGTACTGCCCCTTAATTAGCTGGGAAAAGCTCCAGACACCCCTGCTGCCAGGTAAGTAGCCTAGCTTTTGCCAACTCCTTCAAACAGAACACTAACCTCTGGAGCCCATGTGTCAGGTTATATTTGTGGGCTGTTTCTAGGAACCTCCAGGTCAGGGGACCCAGGAAGGAATCTGAGCTTCCAAAGGTACCTCATTTTCTAAAGAGGACTTCAAACCCAAGAAAAGCTGGCAATTTGGAGAGCAGCTGGTCTTGAGGTCAACAAATTTAAACCCTCCCCACTCACTCCTTTTTCTACAGGCCCTACAATTTAGGGCAGGGGAATATCTCTTGAAATTCAAGATTTTTATGTACTTAGGAAGAAGTTCAGATAGGAGAATCTTCAGAACAAGTAGCTTAGGGCAAGAAGAGGTGTGCCCGGGAAAATGGCAGTTGTCACCCCTCATATCCTTAGAAGAAGTTTGAAAAAGAATACAGTACATTCACCAAGGCTGCTGTTGCTCTTCCCTGTACGGCAGTCACAGGAGGCCTGGCCTGGGCACTCAGTGGCTTCTTTCACACCTTTTGCTTTCAGAATACAATGTAGGGCAGTCAGATGCTTTAGCCCTGGAAAAGGCCATTCTACCAATAACAATTTTATATAGGAGGTTAAAAACAAACAAAAATTCAAATTAGGCTGCTGTCTTAGCACTACGGTATTCATGTAGTTTTACAATTTCAAGATGAAAAGTGACCACTTGTCACAAAAATGTCTGACTCTGCCTCAACCAGCCCAGGAACAGTTACTGAGAAAGTGCAAAGCTGGCTGGTAATTTTATTATACATTCAGCCACTGAGGACAAAGGCCTTCAAGATTTTAGTCTCAACCTTTGAGCTTTCGCACTTATATTGACAAAGGCAAAATATGGCAACAATGAGCCCACTGTTTTATGAATATTAACCCAGACAATGTGATCCCCCTGGCCAGTTTTCCTATTTCTCCTTTTTGTCTTTTTTTTTTTTTTTTTTTCGTGACCGGCAACGGATCGCAACCCTCAGTGTCGCGCCCGTACCGGACCGGGACCGGCAACGGGATCGCAATCCTCGGTGCTGCGCCCGCACCTCGCTCAGCCAGTGAGCGGGAACCGGTCTGCATGTGGGATCCGAACCCTCGGTGGGAGCGCTGCCGCGCTCTCAAGCGGCGCACTGTAGCAGTGCGCCACCAGGCCGACCCAGTTTTCCTATTTCTAAGACCATCCCAGGAACTGATCTTGAAATATTCAGAGGAGCCTGAATACCAACCACTATACCTGCCTTGGCTAAGTAAGGTTACAGTGCCAGAGAAAGGCTTTTAAAGAAGCTTTTTGTAGTGTACAGAGAATGTAGAGCAAGTTAGTTTTCATCTATGTGCATGCACAACATAAGGGAAAATTAAATAGAGACCAGGTTCCAGGAGTACCACAAAGGAATTCTGTTTTCTACTCTTGGATATATATGAGTGTACATTCCCAATAATTTGCCATCTTCAGTTATTTTCACATTAAAAATCTGCTTTCTGGGATGGCCAGTTGCTCAGTTGGTTACAGTGTGGTGCTGATAATATCAAGATCCGGAGTTTGATCCCTATACTGGTCAGCTGCTCCCCCCACCCCCCCACTGCCCCAATTTACTTTCTCCTGTATAACATCACACCCACCAAAATAACCCATCACTTGAAATAAAAAGTGTTTCACAAAGGGAGAAATTGCTCAGTTGGTTACAGTGTGGTGCTGATAATATCAAGATCCGGAGTTTGATCCCTATACTTGTCAGCTGCTCCCCCCACCCCCCCACTGCCCCAATCTACTTTCTCCTGTATAACATCACACCCACCAAAATAACCCATCACTTGAAATAAAAAGTGTTTCACAAAGGGAGAACGAGGAATCAAAAGAGATGGGTCCTTAATACTAGCGACAATTTTATCTAGGGGTAATAAAAATACTTATTCCTGATTTAAAATATGTGTTCATAATTCAGAAGACCCAGGAATGGAAGAAAGTTCTTCTATTAAAACCTCACCACTAGGTGTTAAGGGGGTGCCATACAGCATACTGAGACAAAGCCAGAGTTTCACCTTAATTGCACACCAGGGACAGTTTATAGGCATTCCAACTGTAATTTAGAAACAATCCATTTCTCCTGACAACCTACCTAGGGCTCAAGATAACTTTCTGAGGCCAAGAGGAGTAACTCAGAAACTGGAGTATTGTAGCAGCTGAAAGTGGAAAAGGAATACATCTATTGCAAGGTCAGTGCACAAAAAGGGTCCCTCTCTCTGACCACCACCTTTTGCTCTTCTCTACAGACGTTCCTTTCCCTCCCCTGACCCGTCAGCCCTTCTTCCCAGCCTTTCTACTAGCCAAAGTGAAGAAACTGGCAGGACAATGCTACCTTTAACCACTTACTAATAACAGAGCATGCAAGTATCTGAAATCATTTAGTTTTACCGAAAGAAACCACTCCAACTATTACTTGACAAAGTACTCCAAGCTATTAAAAAGCAAACAAAAGGAAATCTATGCACTGGACATTTCTTCATAACCACCACCTCACCAAGATAATCAAGGTTACTGCATACTAGCTTTTATGTATGACAAAGCCAGAGAAACTCCTGTTAGAACAATGTGATTCCAGGTGAGAACCACCCTGAGTGACACTTTTTTCATAATGGGAAGGGTGGCTTCCCTCACTGAGCCTTCATTCTGGCCAAGGCACATATATAGACTGAACCAAACATGCTCTATACTTAAACAGGGAAGACCAAACTGCTTTCAAGGGCCTAATATTATTTGTGACCATCCAAACCCTTTCATTTGGCACCAGCACACCAGGATGATGGCTTTTATTCACCACTTAAATACTTAAGAGCACTAGTGAAAATATCCACATTATTACCTAATAAATGGTAATAAGCTGGTTGCTCTCTAAGATGAGAGACAAAGACTGGGACTTCAAGATCTGTGCAACTGACCCATAGTCAATAACAGTTAATAGCAAGCCAAAAACTGATGAATTCCCACCTGCCCATGGTACTGAGAAAACAGGGTGATTTTAGGTTGGAGCTCAATTCTAACTCCTTTCCCCACAACTGTTAACAGTCAAGACTTTTCTGCTCACAAGTAGCCACCAGCTAAAATGCAGAACTTGAAGAGGTTTTACGTCTTATCACACATAAGTTCCAGGATGGAGGAGCAGTGACATTGAGAGATGAGACAAGGTGAACAAGTTTAAAACCAAAAGCAGTGGACATTTATTCCTCAATTTTTGTGCAAGAGTGTAAAGATGCATTTGAAAGAAACTGATGGCTAGAGAGCATCAGCTGTGGCCTTCAGGCTGGGCTGATTTACAATTAGATTAGGAAAAGAAAGGGAAAAAAGGTAACTTGCCTAGTTCACATGAATGTTTCTGGCAAACACAGTTGTTCACAAGTTTCGAACTACGTATTACTAGAGTCAAGGGAAGACTTCAAAAAGCCATATACAGTACAATTTAAAATTGAATGAACATCCTGCAAATGTTAGTGCAAAGTAATTATGTAGACTCTCCAAGATTGTGTTCATGTTTCCCAAGTTTGTTCAATGTTGCTCTTTTGTAATTACAATCATAGAGGCTTAACTTACTAAGTATTAATGCCTTTGTGTTTTATGTCCTACATACCAAGGGAATGTCACAAGGTTTTGGTGAGATGCAGCTTAGTTTCATTAATAAAGCAAATTTCTTATTTAGTTTAACAGTCATGTTCTTGGAATGCTGCATGTGTAAGTTTCATGAAAAAGCAGCTTATGCCCCTATCTTGTTCAATAAAATTATTCACAAGATATCCTTTTTACTATGTAAACTGGAATTGTTTCACAATTTTGAAATGCAACCAGTATAAATGAAAACATTTCAGAGGTGGGGGAAAATCCACCACTAATCTCAGCTAGACAAAGTTCTTAAAATCAAAAAGCCTATTCACACAAAATTATATGTAATGACTGTAGTAATCAGTTTATTACACAGATTAATCATTCTTGAACGTACAAGCTCCAGAGGAGCAATTGGGTCTTTAAATATACACAAGTATTTCCATCAAATGAATTTTCACCCTTACATCCAAACAGACCTAAGCAGTTAAAAACATAAGAAAAATAAGAGCTATTAGCTATGTATTAACTGAAAAACCACATACAAACCAAAGAATATGGAAGAGAGAAAGAGGGGCTGAAAGGACGAAGGATGAAGGATGAAGGGGTAGGGAGATGTAAAAGAGTTGGGAACGAAGCCCATCACACTTTACGTAGTAATAGCTCCAATCCATTTAAAATGCTGACCAGTTAAACTTAGACCTTAAAATACAGGATGTGGGTAGAGTTTAATATGGTTGGTCATAACTTTCACCTAAAATGTTAGGTCCTTCGGAATAAAATGTACACAGAAACAGCTTCATGTTCTTCACCTTTCTTTTCATAACTGTTTTGAGTGTAAATGAACTCCACTTAAAAACAATCTCCTATGGGTCAGTGGAGCTTTTCTTACCCATCAAAGCACACACCATACCCATCACCCCTCACATCTTGCAGTTATCCAAATTTAAGTCAATAAGGAAAGCTCTTAAGTCTCACACTTAGGTTATGCCTGGAGAACTGGCTTGTCACACACACACTTTTCTGCTAGGAGGCAATGTTGGTACAGAAGTACAGTGTTTCTAGTTTGTTGTTCCAAGTATGTACAACACGCAGCACTGCTGTATCAGGTAAACATGTGCACAGGGGAAGATGAAGCGTGGGCTCATAGAAAGCAGTCAAATGGAAATCAAAAGGACTTTCTCTTTCAGAGTTCCCCTATCTTTATTTGTAGAGGTTATCCAATAATTTCTTTAATTACATCGCATACTTCTGAGTCCATTCCCGAGCTATTCTGTTGTACCTGTACACACAAAGAGAAGCTTGGCTTAACACAAATCAGTTAGTAAGCAACAGATTTCATTCATTATCGCATCTAGTAACTTGAGAGGAATAACTTACAGAACATTCAAGCAAAGCTAACTTTCTACCCCAAATTTCTAATAAGCATTTATTCAATGATAATGGGAAAGATCTGTAAAATGTGAAACAATTTCCTAAAAATGCTAGAGGATTTTGATTAAATTTTGGCAATTTCTGGCCTACACCTTAATTTATACTTGATTGACCTATTTCTACAAAAGACCTTCAACTCTTGATTCACTTATTTGAGGTTCTTGAAACTACATAATCCTACATTACATCGTTCTTGAAATCATACCCTAATAGTGATGAAAATGACATAATACTTTCCTATATATCAATACAACAACTGGTTCTGGCAGAACTTGTTTATTGCTCCAGAAGAACATTCCAGCAGTAAAATAAGCAGAGTGAAAGGTTCTATAATTCTTCTATTAGAAAAGGGATGTAAGAAAGGCTCTGCTGAATTTCACTACCACAATGATTTAGGAAATGCCTTCTGGTAAGCATCCATGTCCACAATTCTAGATATTGGACAAAACATTTCTCAATCAAAAAAAGTTATTTGTGGGCCGGCCCGGTGGCGCACTCGGTAGAGTGCGGCGCTTGGGAGCGCAGTGGCGCTCCCGCGGAGGGTTCGGATCCCATATAGAGACTGGTCCGCTCACTGGTTGAGCGCAGTGCGGGCACGACACCGAGGGTTGCGATCCCGTTGCCGGTCACGAAAAAAGACAAAAAGGAAAAAAAAAAAAAGTTATTTGGGGGCCGGCCCGGTGGCGCACTCGGTAGAGTGCGGCGCTTGAGGGCGCAGTGGCGCTCCCGCGGAGGGTTCGGATCCCATATAGAGACTGGTCCGCTCACTGGTTGAGCGCAGTGCGGGCACGACACCGAGGGTTGCGATCCCGTTGCCGGTCACGAAAAAAGACAAAAAGGAAAAAAAAAAAAAGTTATTTGTGAATAAATGCATGAATAGGAAAAAGCATGATTCTAATTTTATTCTGGTTGCAGCCAGAAATACATGACTATAGATACTATTTGGACCTAAAAGCAGACTGTACTAAGAACCACTATTGGTCCCCCATTCCTGGTATAACTCCACTTAAGAAAGACTGTATCTAAGGCAGCCACTTGGCTCAGCAGGTTAGTGTGCAGCCTTGTAACACCAAGGTCAAGGGTTCAAATCCCCTTACTGGCCAGCCACACACAAAAAAACAAACCATATACCTATGACTCTCTAATCCAATAGAATTCAAGTAGTTTTTGGATCCTTTATTTCTAACTTTAAAAAACTAACCTCTCCCATCTAGTTCCTCCTATAGTCTCATGAATAATACATAACACAAAAAAGGTTAGAACACTTTCAGTTACTGTCTTTTTTGATATCCTGACCATTCCAATAATTCACAGTACAATTCTAAAATATCTAAATTCTACATCAAGTTTTGTTTTTCCTTTTTTTTTTTTTTTTGTCTTTTTTTCGTGTCCGGCAATGGACCGCAACCCCCAGTGTCGCGCCCGCACCGGACTGGGACCGGCAACGGGATCGCAACCCTCGGTGCTGCGCCCGCCCCCCGCTCAGCCAGTGAGCAGGAACCGGTCTGCATGTGGGATCCGAACCCTCGGCGGGAGCGCCACCGCACTCCCAAGCGGCGCACTGTAGCAGTGCGCCACCGGGCCGGCCCTCAAGTTTTGTTTTTAAAAAGAAATTTGGGGCTTTCATGTAAAATGGCATTTATTTAGTTTCTTCCTTTGAAAAATCAATTCTCTTTTCCCATTAATTTACAAATATCTATGTAAGACAAATAGGCACTAGATGCAAAATGCTTTATGTCAAAAGCCAAGCATAAGACATAAAGCTGTTGGAAAATATACTACAGAAAACTTTTTCTAGACAGTAGGAGTCATATGAAACAATTAGAGATAAAATCAGTACTGAGTGCAAAAATTCTTACCTGCCCCCAGGAGAATATATTAAGACTTCGTTTTAAATATATGGGCCATGTTCGGCTCTTAGAAAAGAAAAATTTGAGACAAACATCTCCATCCCACCACAGACAGCTTTCTGTCTACAGGCCATACTTACTTTTCTCTATCTGTTTTGTAGATCCGAGCAATCTCAGGCACTAAAGGATCATCTGGATTGGGATCACACAACAGAGAACAGATGGACAAGAGTACTAGAAGGAAAAAGCCATATAAATTAGTAGAGGATAAAAGCAAAAGGTTGAGAGAAACATGAGATGCCAATACATGACAAAATTCTAAGAATCTATTTATACTGTATAGTGCCTAACAACTTTGTTAAGCTCTACCTAACTTTATATTAACAGTAATCAACAAAGATTTTAAGAAGCTTAAGCAGATTTCAGGGTCAGTCATTAAAAAATATAAACAAAAACAAACAGCAGAAAATTAGTATTAATGGCATATTGGTCTCACAGATAAGAATATAAGCCCATTTGTTCAAAGTTTCACAATAACTCCACGATGTAAGAAGAGTTGATATGACTGTCTCTATGCCTGAACTCCTAAGGAAGCTGGCCCAGACAGGTGAAGTGACTTGTTCAATGTCCCTGGCTAGTAATTAGAACCCAGGTCTTCCAAATCCTAGACCACAAACACTTTTCAGAGCCCATAAAGTTCAACTTTTAGAAGCTCATGTTCAGGGATAAATGGCTTTCAAAATTCCAAAGATAGCCACACTACTGAATACTCTCAGGCAAAAATAACAACCATGAAATCCAATGATCACTGTTTTCTGAATGGCAGGTACCACATTCGGGTACAATGGATTTGTTTCATTTTTGTTTGAAAACAATTTAGTCTAAGTCAAGAACATAAAGGCCACTACTTGCCCCCAAATAAGGATGGCCACACACTTATTACAAAGGACACAACATACTTCCCCCTAAAGTCTCAAATTCTTTCCAGTGATGATTAAGAATCTCATCTAAGTCACTTCCTCAGTGACAACCTGGGATGTAGCAGACAAATCTCAATAGTATAATTTCCTTTGCTCAAATCTTTCATTAACTTATGTATTCCTTACTAAATGCAAAGACGGGGCCAAGGTCACAGACTACATGAAGTTCAGTAGCCGTTAACATAATGAAATAAATCCAAATCTTTCTACAATATACAAACAGAATTCGGCTATCTTATTTCTCTCTAATGTTCTGTACCAAAAAGCAATGACTCTGAGCCAGCTTAATTCCCAAAACATCAAATTCAACAGGAAAAGGATTTACCCATTTTCCTATAAAATCTATTCTGTAGAGATTAAGGGCTTCTGAGATGTGAAGAAAAAGTTGATATGCCCTTTATCATTCAGTTTGGTAACAATAAAGCTATTTCCTTGCTTTAAGAGTATATGGAAAATAAAATATATCAGGAAAGATGTTTTCTGACTTTTCCTTTCTGTTGCCCACAATTCTGGCAGATGGCATTCCCAACACATCTTCTCTTCCCATTGTTAGGTGTCATCACCTGATACCCTCTTTAAGCACAGAACATTCTAACAGCATTTAGGAAAGATTTCATGTATTTCCTAGAAATGACAACAGGGAGTTACAGATTTTTGAATGCTGATGAAATTACTGACTATAGGAAGAAACTTTTCTGTCCTATCAAACTGGCGAGTACAACTGATTCTTCACCTAAAATTGGACATTCTACTAAATTAGTGTTTGTTACAAATACCCTTCTTTCATGTATTTCCTAGAAATGACAACAGGGAGTTACAGATTTTTGAATGCTGATGAAATTATTGACTATAGGAAGAAACTTTTCTGTCCTATCAAACTGGCAAGAGTACAACTGATTCTTCACCTAAAATTGGACATTCTACTAAATTAGTGTTTGTTACAAATACCCTTTACTTATTCTTCTAATTTTTCTAATAAGGCAATCTTAAAAGGATAAATCTTAAGGAAACAGCTTTTCTGACCTTTCCAGGAAAGAGAAGTAGGGTGGTGGTTATCTGGACCTGGTGAAAGGATACTTAGTACACTACTTATGCTCCTTTAATTCATGGAAAATTGATTTTGGTATATAATGTACTATATCTTCTTCCTCTATAAAGAGAATAATGAACTATTTCTACAACCTGCATTGGCTCTTCACAGAAGTGACTAAACTTCTACCTATATACATTCTGCATCAGTATATACTCACTTTCATTAGTGTTATAACTCATAGTCACTTTCAATTCTAAAAACATAATCAAGTGGCTACCTGCTTCCTTTTAAGTTTTCTGTATATTTAGATCCCTAACATGTGTCTTCAAAGATCAGGGAATCTGGGGTCAAAATTATTGCCCTTGAAAACAGACTATATGTTAAAGGGATAATTAGTATCACACACAGGATTAAGGCCTTTCACAGAACTACTTGCCCATACATTCAATTTGCAAAAGGGACTCATTAAAACATTAAACCTAGGTTAGTTAACAATTAAATTCAAACAAATGGCACTGGAATTATTTTATAAGATAGTTACCTATCCAGATAGAGAGAATTTGATAAGTCTAATAAACCACACTTAGGGTTTACTATAGCTAAAAAAAAAAAAAAAATTCAACACTAGACACAAGTAGGGGGGAAAAAGGAGATATGGCAACAATTCCAGCTATCTAGCCTGCGCCCCCACCCCCACCACACAGTTCCACATCGCTTGGTTCTACTACTAGATTTACATCTCTACTGCTGTTTGGTGAAAGAAGAGCAACCAACAGGACCTTCAGCAAGCCAGGCAACAACAAGAACAGGTATATGAACATGTTCTCAAGTGGCCCTTGAATTGCAAGGGGGCCTACAAAAAGAAAAGGGGCCAGTATTTCATTCAAAACTTTAAAAAATGTAGTTCTCTGGTTTTTTATTTTTCCTAGGACTCCAGAAATTTTGATTTAATGCCCCAGAGTTTTTCTTTCCTTTAAAACATTAACTTGTAAGTATACAAGTCTTAACATCCAAATTTTAATATGACAAAAACCCAACACTTTAGACAACTGTGCCTTTAGTCCAGGCATTGGAGAGCTTACAAAGAACAGTTAACTGCATTTTTGCTTTTTAATCTTCATAATAACAATGAAATAGTTATTACTGTAACTATTCTACAGATGAAAAAATTGAGGAATATGGAGGCTAATTTGTCTCAAGTCTCATTCAATAAGAGATGGAACTGAGATCTAAACATAGGAAATTGATCCAGAATCTATGTTCTTTACCACGAAACTATGTTGCCTCCTGTCTAAATATATACATTAAAAAAATGATTATAAGTAGATAGGAAAATATTTTTCATACATCAAATTTCACCACCCAAGTACGCAAACTAACATTGTTTATTTCTAGCTATTTCACATACTTTTCTATATAACTCACATTACAATGTATACAATTTTTTTCTTTTCTGCCTTTTCAAACATAGTTTTTCCCATTTTTCATGGTATTAGTAAGGATCAATGCTCTTTTATGGTTTTTTTTTTTTTTTTTTTTTTTTTTGGCAGCTGGCTAGTATGAGGATCTGAACCCTTGACCTTGCTGTTACAACACCACATTCTAATTGACTGAGCTAACCAACCAGCCCACAATACTCTTTTAAATGCATGTGCTAAAACTGATTTATTTTTTCATCTACTGTTACAGAAAAAAGGAAAACTTTTTGTAAATTGGTTTATTAATATCATAGAAAGCACACTGAAAACAATTGCCACATCCCAATTACCTTAGGTGGTTTGAAGGGATAATCTGTTGGAAAATGAATTGTCAAGAAAAATACTCCACCCTGATAGGGACTGTCATTCTGTTGATGACAAGAAAAGTGAGATTAAAATGAGTAAATTACATAAACTATTTATTCTGAAATTAATCTGAATACTTACTGGCCCCATTATTGTAGCTTGCCAATGGAACACTGAAAAAGAACAAAAAAAAAAAAAATCACCATGTAGCAATACCCACTTTGTATCTAAGCCACAGTAAAGTATTATTCCCCATCTAATCCAAATTCATTTATGTATAAGCAATGTAATAACGAGTATGGGCAGGATGAGGAATCTACATTAAGTGTGAGCCTGAAGAGAGAAAAAAAAAAAAAAAAAAAAAAGACTAGAATGGCCTAGAGCACTGATATGGTGCTCAATGAAAAAGTATTTGGGCTATAAGACATCTAGAAAATTCATGTCAGGGATACAAGATTTTTGACAAGGCCCAAAGTTCTGCTTTTAAACAGATATTTCCTTATCTCAAAGGGTAAATTACTTTCTCAACACAATTACATATAATATATTCCTTTTATAATACTGGTATAGGGCAAAACTGTAAAGTCAAGGTAGATAATACTCCAATTAAGAAAGATTGGTTTTTAACAGTGAGGAAAAATTTCTAAGAACTCTCATGTGTAGATCTTTAAAACCTCTTTTGACCCTACTATCACCACTGTGAAATAAAGAAAAAAGAAAGAATGTCCTTCCTGACAGAAAATGCAGAAAGATCAATATTTTTGAGTAATACTGCAATCTCTTTCTGCACTCCAAAAAGTTGAAGACATTCTAGTGTGTTTAAGTAAGATTCTCATTACTGATGAGATACTATCACCACTGGCCTCTTTAATAAATAAAGAAAAATGAAAGCTCAAGAGTGATTACAAGCTTTAGGGATAATTCCATTAAGTCAAAAACTTGTTTAAGGGCCGGCCCGTGGCTCACTCGGGAGAGTGTGGTGCTGATAACACCAAGGCCCCGGGTTCGGATCCCATATAGGGATGGCCGGTTCGCTCACTGGCTGAGCGTGGTGCTGACAACACCAAGTCAAGGGTTAAGATCCCCTTACCGGTTTAAAAAAAAAAAAAAAAAAAACTTGTTTAATATGGAAATCTCTTCAAACTGCAGAAAATGGTACTTGTTCCATTTCTAAGGTAGTGCTGCTAAGCACCACACAGAAATCAAAAGCCAGAGTTTTCACTTACAAGCAAGCAATTTAGCACTTAACATTCATACTACGATCTGAGCAAATTAAAGGAAGAAGTCACTGGGATTGTGTCTGAACAATTCAAACCCACTAACTTGTTAGAAGGTAGAAACATGAAGACTAAGAAGCCATATGAAAATTCAGCAGGATGTCAATCCAAGTCTTAAACCTCTTCAGACCTCCTTAATATGAAACTATCCCTATGGTTGGTTTGTCCCTTACTGGGACCTAAATCCATAAATAGCAGCCTGTTTACTATACCTTAAAGGTGAAGAATAGGTATTGCTGAGGCTCCCCTCCTGACTAGTACTTAGAAAAATTCTAAGTTAGATTACCCCTTAGTAGTACTTAGAATAATTCCTCATGCTCTCTGCCAACTAACAGTTTAATGATTAAGCAGCTAAGGAGAAAGCGATTTTTTTTTTTTTTTTTTTTAAAGATGACCGGTAAGGGGATCTACCCTTGACTTGGTGTTGTCAGCACCACGCTCCCCCAGTGAGCTAACCGGCCATCCCTATATAGGGATGGAAAATTAGCTCACTGGGTGAGCGTGGGGCTGACAACACCAAGTCAAGGGTAGATCCCCTTACCGGTCATCTTTAAAAAAAAAAAAAAATCGCTTTCTCCTGGGCCGGCCTGAGGCTCACTTGGGAGAGTGCGGTGCTGATAACACCAAGGCCATGGGTTCGGATCCCTATATAGGGATCCGAACCCATGGCCTTGGTGTTATCAGCACCGCACTCTCCCAAGTGAGCCACAGGCCGGCCCAGGAGAAAGCGATTTTGAGCCACTAAGATTGGTCCTAGTATCCTCAATATAAGTCCTATAAAAGGCTCCCAATGTCTTGCTTAAAGAAACAAGAGTCTCACTGTTTTTAATCACAAATATACTTGCAATTTGAGTAAGCAAAACATACTGATTACTAGAGTAAACAACTCCCATAACAAGGGTTAAAAACACTATTAGACAAAAGGATGACCAACCAGTCAAGGAACCTGTTTCAAGTCTTGTTCTTCCACTTAATCTTGTTACATTATTTAAATTTATGGCTATAAGTGGAAGGATATTAACTACAACTGCACTCCTGCTCAAGGTTCCAAGAATCAGATAATAAATAAGAAAGCACTTAAATAATAAAATATTGAAATATTGAGACAATTAAAAAAATAAATTTTCCATCAACTATTTAAGTACTAATACTTTCTTGCTAGTCTTTTCAAGATCAATCCTTTTCTTGCTAAAAATATTACCTGACTTAAGAAGTTACCAGGAAAATTTAAATCAGAACAAATTCTTGGTTAAAGGTCAAATACTACTTTTTTTGTGTGACTTCCTATCCTTCCTACTAACAGCAACAAGGAATATTTTATGCTCTACAATCAAAATTTAACAATTGGACAATTGGAGAATTCCCACGTCTTGAAGCAGAAATGTCAACAAGCTGGCAACCAGAACATTTATAATTATGGAAAGAATATCCTCCCTGACAGAAAATGCAGAAAGATCAATATTTTAAAGTAATATTGCAATCTCTTTCCACATTCCAAAAAGTTGAAGACACTCTAGTGTGTTTAAATAAGATTCTCATTATTGAGAACTCTTACAAGCAACATCAATAAACTATTTCGTTTATAATTCATATCTATTTAGCAAGTAAATTATATCTATTCAATATTCCAACAGAACTAAACATATGTAATCCACAAGCATCAAAGCTCTCAATAAAAACTTATTTACATTCAAATGCTAACACTTTGTCTTCACTGTTATAAAGGGTAAAATACCATCACCAGAAAAATGAGAAAAACACATATACAGGGTAATGTCTTTAAAAGAAGACAGGGAAAAGGAAGAAAATTGCTAATGTAAGGCTGGCTGGCCGATAAGCTCAGCTGGCTAGAGTGTACCCCTATAACACCAAGTTCATGGATTTGGATCCCCTGTACCAGCCAGCCCTCCCCGATAAAAGAAAATTGCTAATGTGGCTACTAAGACCAATGATATTTATGGCTCTTGTAAAATGATCTATAGTATCAACAAAAGCAAGAGAAAAACAAATTAAAACCTATTAAGATTAATTTAATTAATGAAAGCATTTGAAATCTACCATTTAAATTTTAATTGACTATTCTGTCACACTGGTTAAACAAGAATACCTATTGGAGTCACTGACTTAGGTCTCCCTCTGGAACCTCCTAGACTCCTAGCTCTCCTAGGTGGAAGTACATGTACTATATAAATAAAGAGAGAAGACGGAAGTGAAAGAATATCTAACCTGCCTCAAATTACAATGGTTTTGTAAATAGTTCAAGAATTACTTGGGTCCATGTAGAAAGAACTCCAGAAATAGTAACTGGATGAAATACTGGCCCCTGAGCATAAAATTCAGTATTGCTACATTACATGAACATATATTTCAAAAACCTTTCATTTAAGGATCAATCTTAGGAGCTGTTCAAAATAAAAATTCATGGGCCGACCCCGTGGCTCACTCAGGAGAGTGCGGCGCTGGGAGCGCAGCGGCGCTCCTGCCGCGGGTTCGGATCCTATATAGGGATGGCCGGTGCGCTCACTGGCTGAGTGCGGTGCGGGCAACACCAAGCCAAGGGTTGCAATCCCCTTACCGGTCACAAAAAAGACAAAAAAATAAAAAAAATAAAAAATTCATGGTAGCAAAATAAAAACGTTTTAATAGTAAAAAACAAAAACAAAAACTCTCCCTACCACCTTGGTTTGATGCTATCTAACCAAATTACACAAACTGAAAGCTACAATCTGTTTTGTAAGAGTTTAAATGTGAAATTCACAGCTCAGTGATTACTCTTTAGTACTCTGGATGAAGCCTTGAGGTTTAAAATGATGCTAAGAATATTTGCTAGTTTGAGATGGAATATCCAGAGACCTACATTTGAACATACAGATCTCAAGAGAGTCACATTCACCAAGTGTTCAAAACAAAAGAAAATGAAGCAGATTATATGATCAATAAATCTTCAGCTTACTTCTCCTTTCAGGAAGTATACTTCTTCCTGCTTACCAAAATCTTGCAGAAAAATGAAAAAAATGTAATGGTATATTAAAATCTGAATTTTTTTTTTCTTTTTAAAGATGACCGGTAAGGGGCTCTTAACTCTTGACTTGGTGTTGTCAGCACCACACTCTCCCTAGTGAGCTAACCGGCCATCCCTATATAGGGATCCGAATCCGTGGCCTTGGTGTTATCAGCACCACACACTCCCAAGTGAACCACAGGCCGGCCCTAAAATCTGAATATTTTAAAATAAAGCACAAGTCTCCACTTTATTCTTACACTAAAGAATAAGTGGTGCTGAGGGATCTGAGTGGCAGGATAGACAAAAGGAGCTCAAAGGACACAAAAATCAACCACATTGTATATTGATAAAATAAAATGAAATTTGAAAATAAATAAATAAATAAATAAAATAAAATAATTTTTTTTTCCTTTTTGTCTTTTTTCGTGACCGGCAACGGGATCGCAACCCTCGGTGTTGTGCCCACACTGCGCACAACCAGTGAGCGGACCGGTCTCTATATGGGATCCGAACCCTTGGCAGGAGCGCCGCCACACTCCTAAGCGCCACACTCTACCGAGTGCGCAACCGGGCCGGCCCAAAATAATTTAAAAAAAAAAAAAAAAGGGAGCTCAAAAGTTTCATTTTGGTTAACAGTTCCTCTCTTCCTCCTCCTAAGATTAAATTCCACCTCCTTACAACAAAAGGATGAAAGTGCATTTAGCTGTCCAATTACACTTTGTGTATCCTCATGTGGTTCTCATCAGTAAGAACTCATATCAAGGTTTTTCTTTCACAGTAATTCATCCTCAAATGTTCTCAAACATCCACACAATATCTAAGTATAATGTTTATCAGCAAACACTACCTAAATGACCAAGTTTAAAAAGAAGTTATACTCGGGCCGGCCTGGTGGAGCACTGGAGAGTGCGCCGCTTCGGAGTGCGGCGGCGCTCCTGCCAAGGGTTCGGATCCCATGTGGAGACCGGTTCCCGCTCACTGGCTGAGCAAGGTGTGGGTGCAATACCGAGGGTTGCGATTCCGTTGCTGGTCCCTGGTACGGGCGCGACACCGAGGGTTGCGATCCCATTACCGGTCAGTAAAAAAGACAAAAAGGAAAAAAAAAAAAGTTATACTGTCCTTAAGGAGGAGATGATTATTCTTTTTGCTAAGTTAGGTACTGTTGACAACTTTGTATCTGACTCTAGATACTCAAAGTTGAATAAGGAAACTAGAAATTAGGGGGAGATTAGATTATTATTATTTTTTATTTTTTTCCTTTTTTTTAGTTAGGTACTGTTGACAACTTTGTATCTGACTCTAGATACTCAAAGTTGAATAAGGAAACTAGAAATTAGGGGGAGATTAGATTATTATTATTTTTTATTTTTTTATTTTTTTCCTTTTTTTTGTGACCGGTAACAGGATCGCAACCCTCAGTGTCATGCCCGCACCGCGCTCAACCAGTGAGTGGACCGGTCTCTATATGGGATCCGAACCCTCGGCAGGAGCGCCACCACACTCCCAAGCGCCACACTCTACCGAGTGCGCCACCGGGCCGGCCCTAGATTATTATTTTTTAAACAGCTTTATTGAGATACAATTCACATACCATACAATCCATACACTGAAAGTGTACAATTCAGTGGTTTTTAGTGCACTGACAAAGTTGTGCAACCATCGCTACGATGAATTTTATAACATTTTCATCACCCCAAAAAGAAACACTATACCCATTAGTAGTCACTCCCCATTCCCCTCAAACCTCCAGTCTTATGCAACCATTAATCTATTTTCTGTCTCTATGGATTGGCCTATTCTGGATATTTCATATAAATGGACTCATACAATATATGGTCTTTTGTGTCTGGCTTCTCTCATTTTCTCATGTTTTTCAAAGTTCATTCATGTCGTAGTATATATCAGTACTTCATTCCTTTTTATTGCCACAAAATATTCTATTGTATGGCTATACTACATTTTATTTATTCCTTCATCAGTTGGTGGGCATTAGAGTTGTTTCCACCTTTGGCTATTATTGATAATGCTTCTATGAACATTCATGCAAAAGTTTTTGTGTGGATGTACATTTTCATTTCTCTTGGCTATATATACCAAGGAGCCAAATTGCTGGGTCATATGGATATGAATGGAAAAAACACACTGATGCAGATGAACCATATGATATGGTGGAATGACAAAACTTGAATAAGAAAACCTGAGAATGAGTCCACTTCGGGAATCTCCATAAGCCTCTTATGGGACTCTTTTTTTTTTTCTTTTTTCATGTCCGGCAATGGATCGCAACCCTCAGTGTCGTGCCCGTACCGGACTGGGACCGGCAACGGAATCGCAACCCTCGGTGCTGCGCCCGCACCTCGCTCAGCCAGTGAGCGGGAACCGGTCTGTATGTGGGATCCGAACCCTCGGCGGGAGTGCCGCCACACTCCCAAGCGGCGCACTGCAGCAGTGCGCCACCGGGCCGGCCCCGGGACTCTTTTCTAAGATTTCTATCCCACTCACCTAAAAGAGTTATTGTGAGTCTTTAATGAGATAAATTGTATAAGAGCACTTAAGCCATTTTGTATGGTTTTAGTACTTAGTCTGCCCTGTTAGGTGACAAATACTATAATCACTCACATGCTGGACAGGTCAGAGTATAATAACGAAAATGAAATTTTTCATCACATGTAAGTAGTTTTATAATCTATAACATTTATCTGTTTTGTCTGTAAAGCAATACTAGTTAAAAAAAAGCCTTGCTTTGATTCTCAAGTATTTAGCAGACCAGAAATAACATTCTCTTAAAAACTCAGGAAAAAATAATTTTAAACACAATCTAATCTAGCCTCATACCTATTTTTGGTCTTAATCTATACACTTTTCTTATACAAATTTTTCCAAGTATGGGTGTTTTTTTTTTTTTGCTAAACATTATAATTCTTTGTGAATTAGTTTTGTGTCACAAAGCATAGTACCATTCAAATATTCTCCCTTTAAAAAAAGTTAACCACATAGTAAATACCTTAGGGGAAAAAAATAATTAGAAGACACTATAGGGGGAAAACTACGTTGAGACTAAGTAGAACAAAAGGAAAATTATTACCTAACTTATGCAGTAATATCACCTAATAAATTATTTTAGACAGGATTTTTTTTTTCTTCCTTTTTTGTGACCGGTAAGAGGATTGCAACCCTTGGCTTGGTGTCGTCTGCACCGCGCTCAGCCAGTGAGCGCACCGGCCATCCCTATACAGGATCCAAACCTGCGGCAGGAGCACCGCTGCGCTCTCAGAGCTCCCAGCGCCACACTCTCCCGAGTGAGCCACAGGGTCGGCCCATTTTAGACAGGATTAATCAGATAAATTGGACATAAAAATAAGTTATAACTGCTTTTACAAGTATGAGCCAGTAGAAAGAGTCAAACTCAGACACAGACACAAACAAAAATCATCCTTAGTATTATCTTACTCAAAGAAAAATAGCCAATTGTAGGTAAAAGCTCAAATATTCTACCCCAGGAAAATAATCAGAAGAGGTAAAAGACAGGTAGGAAGGGACCAGACCAAGTACACAGACAATGCCTGTCAGAAGAGGGTCAAATGTAATGAACAATGCAGAAGACAATAGGATGCACATAGAAATGCTTCTTTCATGGGCAACTAAGGGTAAACACTGCCTCTACCCTATAGCATAAATATCTCTTCACAGAAAATAACCTTAAGATATATAAATCCATCTATCCCAGAATTCCCCAGAGGCAGACTGTTTCGCTGTTTTATTCCATCATCCTTTTAAATACTTACTATCATCTCCAACAGGACCTGCTGAACACTGTGCTGGGGGATCCCGTGCCAGGTCATTCAATTCCTTGAGAAAGAAAAGAAATTTATTCAACATAAATGTAACTTTTATTCACTAATAAAATTTACACTGTTATAAATATTCTCTGTCCCACTGGTGAAGCTCTTTTAGGAGGACTCCTTCAAAGTCAGGGAGGAGTAAATTTGTAAATCTTTGAAGTATTTTGGATGCTTGAATGGAAATGTATGTTTTAAAAAGTAGGTCATTTTTGCTTTGTTCAGAGTTTAGTAGGTAAGAAAGGTAAACAGGTATTATGTATTAAAGAGCCAAGAAAACTGTTTTAAAGTAAAATTTCATTTACTATTTATCTAAAAAGATTCAAGGCCAATTTTTACACCTCAAAATTATAAGGTTACACTCCAGACAAGCTCTTGAAGTCATTTAAAAGTAAGTCGTAAATGTTCCAGAATTATACTGGACCATCTGACCAGATGTTGATATGTTTTCAGATGATGTCCATTACCAGGCTTTCAAAGGTAGTGAAAAAAACTTTAAAAGGATATATTAAAAAGGCTTGACTGGAGAATAAAACCCATCATAAAGCACTGTAGTCAGATACTGATCTACCTATAGTAATGGTCTACAACCAGATGTCAGCTTCTTAGCTATTTTAACATAAGAGCCCACAAACTTGAGACTTGTTATTGGGTGAAGATGCCTGATGTAGTCAGATACTGATCTACCTATAGTAATGGTCTACAACCAGATGTCAGCTTCTTAGCTAATTTAACATAAGAGCCCACAAACTTGAGACTTGTTATTGGGTGAAGATGCCTGAAAAATGACAAGGCAAGGAAGTCATACTATATTCTCTTTCCCTTCCACTTGGTTTCTGAGATAAAAACAAGCTCTGGAGAAGGACTAGTTTCAGATTATACTTTAAAATTACAACACTAAAAACTAAAAATTAGTAAAATATTAGTAAAATCTAATATTTTTAAATGCAATAAAACTTAAAACTCAATTATTGAGTTACATAAAGATATGATTTTAGAACTCCAAATATTATAATTTTTTAATTTGCAATACATATTCGTTTCTGTAAGACCCTTCCTCAGAGTTCAGTTATTCAATAAGTCATTTTAGTACACCAATTATGTTGTTTTATCCCATCTGTAAGCTTGGAGTACAAAGCACAAAGTACGGAAAATTTGAAAAAAAGGGCGCTGACATTGAGATAAAGATTTAACATTTACTTTCGCAAGTATCTCAATTTTTAGATTTTATGTCTCCCTACAAGACATTTCCTGCCCATCTCAAGAAAAAACAATAATCTATTGTAGTTTCCATTCCCAAATATTTTGCAATACAGGTATAACTAAGAATACTCACTTGATTTAAGATACTGACTGCTATAGCAATAGGTTGCTATTAAAATATAATGTGAATTTAACAAAGTGTTCTGAAGTCCTGCCATGTCTATTAAATAGAATTTTACTTCTCATTTAGCCTTAGTCTTTTGCTCCTTTCAAACTGACTCACCGTTTTCCGTGCTGAATGACATCGAGCTTTAACCTCGAGAGCTAAGATTTATTTAAACTGAACACATAGTATTTGAGATATATGTTACATACAGTAAAATTCAACAATTTTAAGTGTACAACTTATTCTGACAGTTGTGCAACCTCTGTATGTATATCCATCAGTTCATTTCATGAGACACTATAATTAATTTTAAAAACCTAGCCAAACTTAGGCTAATAGACATTTAACATACTCATTCAAAACTTTCTTGGTTCAAGACACTGACATGGATGAATCTCTAAAGTATAAGAAACAAGACATAGGCTAGGTAAAAGAAACAAGACATAAAAAGACTACAAACTGTATGATTCCATTCTTACAACATGTGAGAAAAGGCAAAACTATAGGACAGAAAGCAGATCAATGGTTCCAGTGGCTAGAGAGAGCTGGAGTGGGGACTGACTACAAACAGACATGAGGAAAATTTGGGAGGTGATAGAAATGTTCTATATCATGATTTTGGTAGAGGATGCACAACTGTATGTATGTTTGTCAAAACAAATTATACACTTGATATTGGTGAATTTTACTGTACGTACTATATCTCAAAGTTGTTTATTTTTCAAAACTCATAAACATCCATCTTTGTGTCTGCACAAAGTATCTCTAAAGAATACATAAGAAACAAATACTAGTTACCTTCAGGAAAGAAAGCTTGCTTTGGGGGTGAGAATGGAAACTGTATATACTCCTTTTATACCTTTAGAATTTTATAACAAGTGTATATATTACCTATTTGAAAAATAAATTACCCTTTCTGACTATAAATTTGGATTAAAATAGCTATTAAAAGTTATCACCATCTGGAGGGTAATCTAAATAGTGAAAACCCAGTTTGACTGAACACACATACTATAAAACTGATGTCTCTATATCAAGATGAAAACTGAAGCTGAATCTTAAAATTTAAAAGGGCACTGATCTAGATAGACCACATGGGCAGAAAAAAACATCCGAATATATCAAGCTGTGTTTTGTTTGACAGTTGGCTTTGTCATTTGGCATTCTACTTATATATTAATTTCTTCGGTTTTTCTTTCCTAAGAGACAATGTATTCAGATTTGTCTTATATATCATATAGCAAATTATACATTACTGGGATTGAGAGTAGGGCTAGGACAAAATCCAAAACCAAGGAATTAGTCTGTTTATCAAAAAAAATTCTTTGCTGTAGAAAAAGCAATAGAGAAATAAAGTGTATATAATTAAATTTAGAAAAAAGGGGGGAGGAACTTGAAATCTAAAAAAACTTTAAAATAAAAATAAAACATTTCTTTGTTGCAGTATATTCACCTTGTATATAAGTATATAGCAGAACTAAATTCTCTAAAGACCAAGAATTATAAACAATTTTGACTCTCCGAAAATATATTAAGTGTTTTTCACCTTAGTTCAAACAACCCCAAAACCTTTTATCAATTAGTTTGTTTTCAAGTAAGGTTTAACTTCCTACTACCTTTTTCGGCTCAGGAATATAATTTCTAATGCAGAGGTAAACAGGGATAATATAGTGCCTTATGTTATTCCTTAAGAATATCTACTTTCCACAGGATTAGTCCATATTTAAAACAGACCATTAGTAAATAAAACAGAACACTAAAACTTCTGAAAGCCTGAGATATCTATTACAACACTATAGCAAAAAGAAAGGAAGCTTCCTAACTCTTTGAGGGGAGGGGATCCTGCAAGGGATATATAGATTCCCCTTTCACTGTATTCCTTAAGAGGCAAGTTAAGCCAGTAGTTGGTAAAAATTAATGCTTCTTACTAGATATTTTTAAATGACCCTCCTCCCATAATAACAACAATTATGAAACAAAACAAAAATGACACTGTATTCCTTAAGAGGCAAGTTAAGCCAGTAGTTGGTAAAAATTAATGCTTCTTACTAGCTATTTTTAAATGACCCTCCTCCCATAATAACAACAATTATGAAACAAAACAAAAATGAGAAGATTTCTCTCATTCTCTCTTTCTTCTCTCATCTCACAGAGAAGATTTCTCTCACCCTTTTGGTCCTTACCCTACAGCATAAGGTAAAAGGAAAAAGTAGGGAAACTGGGAGAGGTTATAATTAACTCCGAAGAAAACTGGCTCTGCAGTCAAGTTTTTTTTTTTTTTCCTTTTTGTCTTTTTTCGTGACCAGTAACGGGATCGCAACCCTCGGTGTCACACCTGTACCGCAACCGGCAACAGGATCACAACCCTCGGTGTCGCGCCCGCACCGCGCTCAACCAGTGAGCGGACTGGTCTCTACATGGGATCCGAACCCTCGGCGGGAGCGCCACCGCACTCTCAAGCACCGCCGCGCTCTCAAGCACCGCACTCTACCAAGTGCGCCACCGGGCTGGCCCCTGCAGTCAAGTTTTTTTTTTTTTTAAATATGAGGAACTGGGTATTTTATTTTATTTTATTTTATTTTATTTTATTTTATTTTATTTTTTGTCTTTTGTCTTTTTCCGTGTCCGGCAACGGATCGCAACCCTCAGTGTTGCCCCCGTACCGGACCGGGGACCGGCAACGGGATCGCAACCCTCGGTGTTGCTCCCGCGCCTCGCTCAGCCAGTGAGCGGGAACCGGTCTGTATGTGGGATCCGAACCCTCGGGCGGGAGTGCCCGCCGCGCTTCCCAAGCGGCGCACTTATCCAGTGCGCCACCGGGCCGGCCCAAGTTTTAATAGTTCTAAATACTGTTATACGCATCAAGGATCTTTGGTAGTTACAAAGATATAAGAAGATTTCAAAAGAGATTATAATTCACAGAATTATCATTTCTAGGTCAGAAGAGACCAAATAGACCTATTCCCAATTTTATAAGAAAACAAAATACAAAATATCTAACCCAAGGGTAAGGACTTAGGTGTTCTATTATACCATGCTTCTTTAGTCTGGGTTCAGTGTAAAGCAAGGTACAAAACAGTGTGTGAGATATGCTACCATCTTTTTTACAAAAAGATTACACATATGCATTTTCATATTTATGAAATATTTCATAATTACATATATCTCTAGAAAGTTTCCCCAAAAGTTGGTAACATTAGTTGTCTCTAGAGAGGGAAATCTGCTGCCAGGGGAAGGCGGGATGATGGGCCCAAGGCAAAAGAAAGACTTTCACCAGATAAATTTTTGTACCTTCTGAATTTGTGCCAAGTGAATGGCACACACAAATTTAAAGAAAAAAGACAAACCACATAATTGGAGAAAGTACAATACAATATCCAGAATATATAAAGAACTCAATAAGAAAAACAGTCCTGGGCCGGCCCGGTGGCGCACTGGATAGTGCGCCGCTTGGGAAGCGCGGCGGCGCTCCCGTCCGAGGGTTCGGATCCCATATACAGACCGGTTCCCGCTCACTGGCTGAGCGAGGCGCGGGAGCAACACCGAGGCTTGCGATCCCGTTGCCGGTCCCCGGTCCGGTACGGGGGCAACACTGAGGGTTGCGATCCGTTGCCGGACACGGAAAAAAGACAAAAAAAAAA